TGCACTGAAGAGCAGAAAAAGAAACACAAACAGTGGCTCATCTTTTCCCACAACAGAGAAAGCTCCGTTTGATTGTTAAAATTACCGACATCATTTCCTGTCAGCTTTAATGCCTGCCTTTCTGCCAGTCAATTAAATTTGCACTTAACGTTCCCCAAACAAACAACAAAGCTGATTCCATTACTGAGTAATTATTTTCTCTCTTTCTGAAAAGTGTTTTTTGTTTTTCTGAGACTGCAGCAGCTGGAACACTATGGTTTATATTTCATTATCATATGAAGGAGAAATCAGAAAATCCTGTTTATTACGGTATTCCTTGCTCATGCAATGGGCCCTAATTAAGATGAACATACTGTACATAGGGAACTAGGCTAATTATATTACTGTCACTGATCAGTTTACAGTTCACTCCTGCATTGCTGGAGCTCTCCTACTCTGTGTCTAACAGCATGAGTGGCAGTCTGCCGTGAATCAGGGCTTGTGAAACATTACCTGAATTCATTTCAGCCTGTGAAGAAAATAGGTTTTTAAAAAAAAAAAACAGCCTTGAAAGAGTAGAGTATAAAAGCTTCAGGGATATATTATTAAAACTCTGAATAATAAAGGAATACTCCTGAATGTATTCACCTCTTACAAGTCACGTTTTGGATTCTATTTAAAAAAAGGTTACTCTTTGGGAGAGGAACATTCAACATGCAGCTTTTTGGAAAATACAAGCGGTTATATACCTGGATTTAAACAATTCCATACAATTTCTTAATTATTTAATTGATTGATGCTGTATTTGCTCAGAAAAATACATACATTCTCACAATATTCTTTAAGTATATAATATATTCTATAATGGTGTTGGGTCAGCACTGCCAACCACTGGACCACAGTCCTGACCTATTTTCATAATTATTATCATCATTAAGTATTAGTCATTATTATAAAATAGTGATTATTATTGTTAATGATTATTATTAATCCCTTTGGATGGGTTCCTGAGTGGCTTAACCAGTAACGTTGTTCATTTTCAGCCCTGTAATTTGGACATCACTGTGCCAAGTGACAAATGAGTCCAATAGGAAGTCGATACATGCACAGATCCTCATTCGCCCTGTGCAATACAGAACTGACCTCAGGTGCTGCCTCTGTGGAGTTTGCATGTTATCCCTGTGTTCGCACGTGTTTGTTCCGTGTTTTATTTTCACTTTCAACAACTTGAAACAATAAGTTAGGAAACACATTCAGGACTGTTTTAGGACGGTGGTTTAAACTGAGCCACAGAACTTATGGGACTGGCTTAGAATAAGGAATAATTCCTTACTTTTATATAGCGCTGTTTTGGACATGCCGCTCAAAATGCTTTTTTACAAGCAATGGGGACTTCCTTCCACCACCACCACCCCCAATGTGCAGCCCCCACCTGCATGTTGCAACGACAGCCAGAGTGTACCTTCCTGGTTGGGATAGGCTCTAGCTCCCCCATGACCCTGAACTGGAGGAAGCAGTTAGAAAATGAATGGATAGAAGGATAAATAATCACTGACCTGTTCACCAGGAAGAGACGGCTGGAGACGTCAGGAGTAGGCCCAGTGATCCTGCAGGTCAGTAGCAGCCGAATAATTGACTGGTCCAGAAAGGCTTTCTGCCAGGCCGACAGATACACTAGTCTACACAAACTCATCCAGATAAAAAGAAGAAACTTCTCATACCGTCTCCTAAGATATTAATATCACACATTACACACATTCTCTAAGGAAAGCTCTGGCTTTTATAAAGGCATTAGAGTTAAAATAGGATCAGCGCCTGGACACACAGGACTGCTGAGCTTGTCTCTGGCTCCCTGCAGAGTCTGTACATTGGCTTCTGCTACTCCTGTCAGCGAGGTGAAGCTGACATTGATTAAACGCTGCAAATCCCATAGAAAGGGGGTTAGATTTTGTCAGAAATCACCACAAGCTGAACTCCATAATCAGTAGCTCTACAACACTCCACGCACAGAATGAAAAAATGATAGGTCTAGACCAGTAAGAATGTTGCAACTCTTTTAGACATCACTATTAGGCATCTCTTTGGTGTTTGTCACGATCAAGTGCTTAAAATCAAGGATAGCCAGTTTACAAAGGCTTAACTATATATTATGCTTACAGCTTAACATGCCATGATTTAGTGATGCTTAAAACAAAGTACTGTAATAATTTCATTTATAGTGGTCTGTTCTTTAAAATCGTGATGAAAATTGAGATTTATTATCACATAGGTTGTCACAGTAAAAAGTCACAGTAACAAAAAGCTAAACTGAATTACTAATGGGGTGCTTTGCATTGATATCCTTGGTTAGTGCCACTCTTCCTGGGAGGTAAAATTAACAATAATTTCCTTGTCATAAACACAAATGATTGTACTGTACTGTAAAATAAATAGTACAGTATCCATTGCCCACACTTGCCAGCAAGCTTAAACCAGAGGGTTCTGCACAGTTCATTCATGTTGGACTTCCCAGGGTGGCAAAAAGAAAATTAGATTGGTGGGGTACATGAACGTAGAATTAAAAAGTCAAAGTTTGAAAAATCTTTGAAAAATAATGAATATGAAAAAAATGCTCAACCTTCACTTCATCACTTTCTACAATGGAGATATGACGGGGCTGAATTGATCTTTATTAAAAATGATGAAATTCAACCTTTAAAAAGGTCTCAAAGCAGGAAATCAAAGCTTGAACACTCAAGATTAGTATTGTCCATCAAGAAGTCTTATGATGATGATGATTTTGCATACTGAAATCACTGATAGCAATATTCAATTCTTAGTTTTCCATAAAACACACTAGTTTTTAAGCCACCGCCAGGAACATTCCGTTGCAAAAGTATTCCAGACAAAAATGTAGTTGCAACTAACTAAAGCCAGAAGTGTGCTGCATATTATAGACAACATTTGTATCCATAAAGGACACCCATTTTATTGAGCCTTTAAGTTGAATAGATGGATAGGAGTGTGTGAAAGACACTTTGCATCACTGCACTAAGAGAAAATGTCCTGTGTTTCCTTCTAAATAAAACTCCCTCCTTCCTCCTCCACCACCCAGACGCCAGTACAGAATCTGGTAGATACTTTCACTGTTAATTAACCTTCTCGGAAACCAGGGCGTGTCCTTTTTGCAAGAGTTGCTGTCTTTCATCTGGAAAGTCATACCAGGAAAATCATACCCGTTCTCCCGTGACGTTCCCCAAGCACATTACCTTATTTTGCTGCTGTTCAGCCGTTCTGATTTAACTCCTGCCTCTTTCTGTTTCAGGTGTTAAAGAGTAATTCCCATGTTGCTACTTTGTTTTCCTTACAAGAAAAAAATCTGGAGTGGGAGTGTTATTCACATCTAATTGCTCTTGTCGTTTTAGGGGTTGAAGGTATTGAAAGACTTGAATGAAAGTGACATTTTACCCAAGTGCACAGGGACCTAGAGGAAAACAAATGGCTGTTTGAATAGCAGACGGGGCATAGCTGATGTATGGAGATAAAGCTGTTTTCTTTCGGTAATTAAGGAATTGTAGTAACACAATAACCCCTGGAAATCCCCCATTGAAGAACATAAGTTTGCTAACTGCTCCTGTGCTTACAGAACATGTTGAGACTGAATGGATTTCTGGACCCAGAAATGACAAGGAGCAAATTGACTGATTTAACAATATGGTTTTCTCTCTTTTACTAACAAAGATTTCTTTCGATTGATCTGTGTGGACAGCCCAATCAATGTTATTGACGACCGGTGAAAAAGAAATCTATGCAAATGAAGACAATTCATTAATTAACAGAAGAGCACACTGCCTGGATAACTGCCAAAAAAGATTCTTTCAACATAAATTTGACTAATTTTATTATGCAAGACTTTTTTTTATTATGAAACTGCCTCGCAGCATTTAAAAGCAGCGACCGTTTAAGAAACCACCACTGCTTACTTAACACATTAACTTTAATTTAGCGGGAACTTTCACTGTGCATCAATGCGTCAGCCTAATATAAGTACAGTGTGAAACCTTACAAAACAAAACAGAAACAAGCTGCCCAGTTCTCAAGGTTCCTTGGTGCAACCAGGCAAGAATCAGAGGTGTCTGTTGTGATCGTTTGGTTCTGTTATCAGAAAAATTAAAAATGAATAACGCTGGTTTACAAAACCCATTTAAAACAAAGCTTGACCTCCTCTCTAATTCTAGTCCACTTCCAACTCCCTGTATAAAAATATCATGGCTTCTTATGGACTCACTTGAGCGATTTGCTTCACCTCCCTCATCTTTGCCCTGGCAGAAGCTCCCTGTCTCACCCTTTATCAGATGAGGGAACCCCTATCCTACTCTTCTCAGCCAGGTGAGTCACCCCAAAACAGCTCACTATTTGAATCAGGCCTCTTCTCCACCTTAATCAGGAACTAACCAAACAATGGAAAACTGAAAAGAGATGAAAAGAGGTCCTTCCATCAGAGGTGGAAGATCTTCCATTACAGGCTCTACTTAAAAAACAAAACTTTCCAAACAGATCATTCAAGTGGTAAGGCATTAAAATGGCTGGAGCAAGTATCCAAATCAGGAATAAAAACAATAAACTCCTCCTCCATTAATTAAAATGGGCAGCAACTTTTAACACACATAAAAAAGAAATTGCAGCTTGTACTAAATTAAAACAGCAAGCCTCCACCCAGTATGCAGATTACAAACTGTGAGATGGCTGTTCTTAAAGATAGAAAAAACAGGTTTCTTGCAAATTAAGTCACTTCACAGGACACAGGATAATTTGTGATAGGTGGGCGAGTTAAAGTGATTTGTTCCAAGTATTAGTAAGGTAAATAGGTTGCTTTGAGACACTTACAAACACTGTTTGTTTAGCACCATGCTAGTTTACTGTACAGAACTGCAGCAGAGGGAGCAATATCGAGCCCTGCTGGTCCATCTTCAACAGTTTTTCATAGTTGGACCCCAACACAGAAAACCACACGCACAAAGAACAGAAGCACAGAGTCGGGATTTGAAATGTACAAAGTTGCACAAACCTTTTTACCGGCATTTTCAAAATTTCAACAAAGTATGTGAGGCAAAACAGGTCAAATTAACAACAGAATCCAAAAAAGAACCATCTTGTTCTGTTTTACATAAGCACCTGAGAGAAAAGCAACAAAAAAAAAATACACTGAACAGGAATGCGAAGTCACAGTAAATAGAACACAGAGGCACTGCGGCCTCCCTCCTCAAGGGTCAACAAAGTCAGCTGTAAAATTACTGCTGCCAAAACAGCAACTCATCTATAAAAAGCTGGTTGCGCTTCATACCTGATAATTATGTCTTCCTGTTTGCGATTCAGTGAGCTTGCCTAGCAAGGATGCTGCTCGTGTGCCAAAATTTCACTTGGTGCTCTTCCGCGTGGTGGAAACTTTTTAATTACTTGTCACTAGTCAAGTTTCTTTATAATGAAAGTCCGCAGTCTGCAGCCAGTCTGCACCCAGTGACAGGATGTCTTAAATGCTCGGCAGTTAGCGGCAGGCTAAGTTGCACTGCTGAGCCAAACGAGAAGAGCATAATTAATGAAGCAAGGGGAAAAAAAAAAGAATATAAACAAACTGTACAAAGGCCCTTTTACTTATCCCGTCTTCCAAAAGAGGGTTATTTATTACAGATGTATCTGAGGAAACACAGTAAAAATGTTTTAAAAAGTCCAGGAGAATTATATACTTTGAATATATAGCTCGAGTTCATTAATATCATATTCCACCAGTCAGATAAATGTGCTATACCTACGATCTCTAAAAGCCAAATAAAAGTTGAAAAAAGGGAAAGGATCACAAAGCTGTAAGGGAGGTACAGTATGGGCAAAAAGTAAAACAATGAAAAAATATCCTTTGGTCAAATCAACACAAAGAAAATACCATACATATATATGCGTGCGCACACACATATACTGTATAATGTATAACTAAGCAAGTGATCATAAGTAGCTCAGTGGTTTTTGATTTCACAATATGGCCCAAAACTCAGCAGCCCCTGTTTGTGGCCACTAGTTTTCCTCATAGAGGAAAGAATGCGAGAGAGAAAGTGCTCTTAACATTGTCTGATTGTCCACGGAAACGCTGGCGTCCTTCACAGTGGACAGCCGGCTCACAAAATACAATCACAGCATAATGACGAAATCCTTTACTGGAAAGGAAATGAAATCTCAACCCAGTGGAGTGGCTGAAGGCTCGTCTCCTCCAGCAAGGGGGGTGTGCTATTGCTCCTTCTGCTGCTGCCCCCACGCCTGGGACTCGCTGTCCCTGTCTCCTCTCATGCACTGGCGTCGGACCACGGGCAGAGGGTGGGCTTCAGTGTTGAACACCCAGTCCTCTAGCGGGAGGAGGCTGTCATCAGAAAACAGCAGGTACAGATACCTGCAACGGGAAGGAGAAAGATAAAGACTAAGCGTGTTGATACATTCCACCCTGCCAATGTCATTTTTATTTTAAATTTTTGTCAGCAGCCATATCGCCTTGTAGCTCACAACTGGCAACCCACTGAAGCTACGCAGGTATGAGCCTGGTCAGTACCTGGATGGGAGACCTCCTGGGAAAAACTAAGGTTGCTACAGGAAGAAGTGTTAGTGGGGCCAGCAGGGGGCACTCACCCTGTGGTCTGTGTGGGTCTTAATACCCCAGTATAGTGGTGGGGAGTGGTGCCATCCTTTGGATGAGATGTAAATCTGAGGTCCTGACTCTCTGTGGTCATTAAAATCCCAGGGTGTTTCTCAAAAAGAATAGGGGTGTTACCCCAGCGTCCTGGCCATATTTCCCATTGGCCTTTACCAATCATGGCCTCCTAATAATCCCTATGCTGTATATGAACTGGATTCAAGACTGAGTTCTCCTCCCCACTGATAGCTGGTGTGTGGTGAGTGTATCGGTGCACTATGGCTGCCGTTGCATCATCCAGGTGGATGCTGCACATTGGTGGTGGTGTAGGGGAGACCCCATTACCTGTAAAGTGCTTTGAGTGGCATGTCCAGAAAAGGGCTATATAAGTGTAAGCAATTATTAATTATAAATCACAGTTTTGCCCGATCCTTTTGCACTGTTGTCTGGAATCACCAACTATTTACCAGCTCAACTTGCTACAAAGCTGCCACATTGGCTTCTGCCAGGAGAAAAAAGCCCTGCAAAAGGTTTGTTCTTCATGTTTTCTGCTCTGATTCCCTCAGTGAGCCCCATAGCACTGCCAGCAGAGCTCTGGCGTCTGAGGGAGTACAGCTTCAATCCTCTCCAATAGCACTGCCAGCCGGGACACACCCAAACAGCCACAGGGGTCACCACTGAGAAACAACCTGAGGGAGCCCAGGCAATCATCCAGCTTTTGCAAAACCCTGTAAAGTTCAAACGAACGTGCCCTGCCTTTACTACACAATTAAGAGACTGATCAGGGCACAACATCACACAACTCCAACTCAGATTGTCAGTCTGCTCAATTACATTCTCTTAGAGCTATAATGATCAACCCTTCATCCACAACATGCACAGTAATTCACAGAAGTGCTGTTTTCTCTAGCGCATTTAATAAAATAGGCACAATTTAGATGACTCGAGTTTTTACAACGACCTAATTTAAGATATGAATCACTTTTGCTTACATTTTTTAGGAAAGTTCATCACCTCAGAAATTGTTGGGTGAACATACTGTACAGTAATCTTACATGTAACACGTGAAAAACTTATGATACACCATGAACTACCTCCAAATCTGTCACTGGCAGACTCCCAGGTCTGACCTTTTTCAGGTTAGCCTTGAGGAGGCTGGAACAGTATATGTGAAATCATACATTCGTGTTGCTACATGGTCTTCACAACCCTTTTTCAAATCTACAGAGAATCTCTGGATAAAAAAGAAAATCTCCCCCTTTTAATCAACCGCAAATCGTGAAACCAAACTGCTGACTACTGCTCTTTTTATATGACAGACGTGCGATCACATACTGCTGCCAGAGATGCACACAAAGATGTGAAAGTGCTCCAGAGATTCAACAGCAGACTTCCCATTGCCCCCACATGTGAAAACACCAGGTGAGTGGATGATTGTTAAAAATTGTTAAAAATAGTTCACTCAGCTTTCTTGACATCTCTCAGTCACAATTCACAGCAAACGTGATTTCTTACTATCTGAGCAAGCAAACTACACTGTAGTTTTAGAATAGTGGTATTCATAAAATAATGAATTTTCAAAATTCCTCAGCCTTGGGACTCTAGAGAGAGCACTGTTGCCATGGAAATTACTTAACACACCAAGCCCAAAACGGAGCAGCCTCAAACACAGCAGTGGCTAGCATTACAGCTTTTTGTACAAGAACGGGACATAGATCACAAGCGTAGAAGCATTGTGGGAAACCTGGAAGATTACACTAGTTATTACCACGGTTTTGACACCCTTATCATAGATGGGCACTACAGTACAGTTTCTATTTTTCTGGTTAGTCTTCTGGGTCTTTCCCCTGTATGAAAAGACTACCGGAAGAGATTTGTTTAAGACACCACTTAAATCCTGGAGTACCACTGTTAAAATGTCATCAGGCCCTGAGGATTTGTATTGTGGATCTTATATGCTAATACAATTTAATACAGAACTTTGTCTTTTCATAGTCTGTGTCATGTTATATGTTTCTTCCCTAGTGAACATCTGAGTGAAATACACATTTAATACTTCCCTGTCATCCACTAGAAATTCCCCATCTTTGTCTGAGACATTTATTTAATCTTTTCTATTTTTTGCCATTCCAATACTGAAAAACATGTATTTTAGTCTCCTCTGCAATATTTGTCTCTCTCCATCTATTTCCTCTTTTAGACTTTTGTTGATGTTTATTATATCCCTTTCTGTCTTCTGGAACTGGATTGCTTTTGTCTAGAACTATGCTGTTTTAGTTTTCTTCTTTCCCAACAAAAGTTTACAACATTACCGCTGTTTTCAATGCTGATATTCAGGGAACATGTTTAATAAACCAGGTCTGAAAAAAAAAGCTCAGATAAATGTTTGTCATTGCTGGTCACAAAGAAACTTGCCTTAACTTTTTAAAGAAATGAACAAAAGGGTTGTGCTGAGGGATTCACACCAGGAGGAGAAAAGCAATATGATATCAGAATCCATTGCAAGGCTTAAGAGTTCTTAAAACTACTGGAGCACTGGGTGCTTTCCTCAGTCCTTTCAGCTCTATTAAATCTGACACACCATCACAGAGAAGATGGCTCAAATCACTGGAGAGCTGAGAAGAAAATCCCTTTCAGAAAACCGTCTTCTCTTTTTAGGCTTCACAAGCACTAAATTCTCAATGGTAAGGCATTGCTACAATGGTGGGTCGACTAATTCCCTTTCCTGGGCTCTTGTCTGCTTAATTGGTCTCTTTATTTCATTAACTGTAGAAAAAATGAAGACTTCTGCCCAGGCCTGATAAACAAAGTCTTAAAGCTATTGTACCATGAAGCATCTGTGCAAGTCACTAGCTTTAAAAGTTGACACCACTAAGCACATGTAAGTGCAGGCGTTGGAATAGAAATATTTTGGTTATCTGTGCGCTTTGAAATGGGATGACAGACAGTTTAGTTGTGTCGAGTGCTGACAAAAAAGCGATGAGATTTGGACCTGGGGAGGGGTGAGGCTGGGGGGAGGACAACATTTTTGCTAACAAATTAATTCAAGGAGCAAAAGTCTCGCATGTTACCGTTTCTCAAGCAGATTTGAGGAATTCCTAGAAATTACACATTTCCAAAGGAGATGTGCAAATATCTGTGGAAAACCAGATGTAATATATGGAAAGAATAATCACATATTGAGTGAGTTTACGATTCAGAGCAATGTAACAATCTTTGGGTCAGAAATTATAAGGGGCCCATATACAGTATTTTACTACACTGGGATCTGGCATGCATTTGTTGTAACGTGACGACAACCTATCATCCACATTAGCCACAAAAAACACAACACTCTTGATGCAGCAAGGCACAACTTGAACTGACTGAGGGAGAAAGAGGGAGAGACAGAAACAGCGAGAGACACAGGCATACGGAGATGAAGAGAGAGCGAGCAAGAGAGAACTGTTGTAGTGTACATCTCAATTTGCTGTAACATGCTCTGCAGACGGGGGAAAAAGCTGCCATTCCAAAAGCTGATCGGACTGGTGCTTACTTCAAGGTTTCTGCTAAAAAGAAACTCTGTTGCATGTTGTCGTGGACAGGCGTACTAGTGTAGACATCTCTGATGCCAGAAAACCCTGCTTCCACTCGACAATGTTTCTCGAGCGCCTGAGGGAGTAAGAAAAATAGGAAATTTAAGACACACAGGAGCAAATTCATAAAGAATTTTTAGCTCTACACTTCTATAAAACTGGTCTATAGCCTGGGGACTGTTAAATTAGCATATTGAGAATCTTACATTGTACTAATACAGTGAAAGGTTATTGGGTTATCATCTGAACAATCTCAAGTTGCTTAAAATTAGCCTAGTCGGATGTGGTCATCTCGTATTGTTTCAACAGTGATTCACTGGAAGAGTAATATAACAAAATTTACAACATAAATTACATAAAAATAATTTGAATGTACAAATAGAGGATTCAATTCAAAGCACATTAAATTCTTTATATACGGTAGGTACCCTGAGGTTGTAAAATGCCACACAATTCAAAATAAGACATTCTTGGACGGATGCTCTCAATTTGCAATATACTTTTTTGGATTGTATTTTCTACAAAATGCTGCTAATAGCTTTGTAGACCTCAACAACTTATCGGATCGCTTATCGGCTGGGACTAAAGGAGGAACATTTGTCTGCCGGTGCATTGGGCTGCTATCTGTGTGCTGTTAATAAACACACAAGACCGCCGCTGCAAGCGAGCCTGTCTGATTAACATGCAGGCTGAACAGGAATGACTAACACATTATTATCCAGTAATGGCAAACATGACGCTCGCAGAGTGTAATTAACAAAGCAAGATATTAGCTCTGAAAAAGTGCAATGTGATGTCTGTTCTCTCCACCCCACTCCTAATAAAGTGTGCAAACATCTGTGCAGGCAAGTGCACTTTCATTCACAAGACTTAATTCTTTCCCCGAAATTGCTTGTGCAGGAACAAAAGCACATGAAGTGCGCAGATCAGCCCAGTGTTCTTGGACAAAAAAAAATAATATTTTTTTATCTCTTTGATCTCTTTTTCCTACCAAAATAAGGCATTTGACAACCAGAAAAACGATCTTAATTGATTTTTTGTCTTTATTAAGTCTGTCCTTTTAAACCTCCTAAAGTTTAAACCTATAGACAATTTAGGAGTTTGAGCTGAACACGTGCAGCATTCAGACGTTCTAGTTCACTCTTGTTATGAGAGTTTCTCAGTCCCCCTTCTATGGAAAGGAAATAAAACCGTCTCCCTTCCCCAGCCCATACAACCAACAAATTCCTGTATGATTCCACTACAAAATCACTATTGTACTGAAATCCTGTAGGATTTTCTAATCCACATTTCTTACAGATCCCTTCAGGGACTCTTCTGGTAATTATATTCTCTTTTCCAGTGAAAGTAGGGATTTCCAAAGGATCTCTATAGAATCCCAGAAGAGCACAGAAGTACCACACCTGAAGAAGGCTCCACGGCCGAAACGTTGTGTTCTCTTTCTTCTTTTTTTCAGCATGGAATAAACCTATTACTTGTTCCTTTGCAGCCTACACATGCTGACGCAGCTACCCACCTGAACTACTACCGAGCACAGAAGTATACTTGTAAGGGTTTTGGTCTTAAAATGTTAGAATGGAACTATATCTTTAATCAGAGTTGGAAACAAACCTGTTTTTCAACTTTCACTTTTAAGAGTGAGCTGTAGGCTGGTGTAGTAAACCCATCTCCCCTTTGGAATCTTCCTGCAAAATGCTCGCCTTTCCCAAGATACAAATTGCAAGCTCCAAGACTTCATCTGAGTTTCATTAATGTACACAAGCAAAAGCAATTAACTTTAGGGCAGGGATCGACCTTTGAGAGGCTAGGTGACTTAACACTAAACGAGAATCAGACCTCTCTTAAAAGGTCAGTGCAAAATGTTCTGAGTGTACATGCATCCATTTATCTAAGTGCTTTATCCAATACCATATCACGGCGGACCCAGAGCCTATCCCAGCAAGCAACAGGCACAAGGCAGGATACACCCTTGATGGGACAGCAGTCCAACCGCAGGGCAGACATAGACAAAAACACACATACACTCACACCTGGGCTAATTTCCAGAAGCCAGTTATTCTACCAGTATGTTTCTGTGGGAGGAAACTGGAGCAACTAGAGGAAACCCACAAAAACATGGTAAGAACATCCAAACTTCACGCAGACAGCGTCCCAGGAATGGAACCAAATGCCCTAGTGTTGCAAGGCAACAAAACTATTGCACCATTGTGCCACCCTGTTCTGAGTGTGAACAACACAATTAACGTTCTGGTCCAAAAGTTATGTTAGTGGTGATATAAAAAAGCAACATGTATTTTTGGTGATTCAGTGACATGAGATAAGTACCTGGGTTATAAATATAAGGTAAGGGTAGACCTGAGGATTTTGGCTAATGTACATGTACAAGGATTCAATATCTGTAACCTGTAACCTTTTAGTTAAGAGCCCAGTGGCCCAGCCGCCCCCAGGTACCAGATTCACATGGTCCAGTGTCTTACCTGTACAGCCTCCCAGCCCCACTGCCTGTACTTCAAGTCGTGTGTCAGCCTCCACATGTACATATAGCTCTCCACCACCTCGGGGCGCAGGATGTAGTATCTGTCACTGAGCCGTGTGGCCATGGCCTCGGAACCGCTGTCAAATCTGAACGCCTCCGGGCCGAGCTTCGTGGCTGGGACACAGAAATCACGCTCATGAGACACCTCATTCACATCCATGCCAGAGACACAACAGGATGTAACAGCAATTAAGAACCATCGAGTCTGGTTAACGAGCAGGAAAACTGTGTTTCCAGAGAAAGATAAAGCTGCTCTTTTGTAGCGATATGTCATAAGGACGTAAGTTACAAACAAGAGGAGGTCATTCAGCCTAACCGGCCCCGTCCCGCATGGTAGATAGTAGTTAATTGATCCAAGAATCACATCAAGCCATTTCTTGGAAGAAACCGGAGTATTGACATCAACCACATGCCTGGGTAGTTTGTCCCACTCCCCTTAGGACGTGTACTGCATAACCAGTCTTGAGAACAATACAGAACACCACATTTTGTATAAAGTACTCAAGTCGATTATTACACATTTGATTAGACAGGGTTATTGCAGGCACATCCTATCGAAATTTAGTTAGAGCAGCTAATGGCGTAGTATAATTGCTTTTCTTACACCACTGTTGTATCTAGCTTGGTTTGAAATGTACACATCTATGATGGCTTGTAGAAATCCAGAATGCTGATTTTGTTTTTGAGCTAGAAGCTTTTAAAAATTTTAAAGTACTTTTTTCAACAGGTAGAAAACGGGTACTTATTCTGCTCAAATATACAGTCTGTGCAACAAAACAGCGCACACATTTGATCTGTTGAAGGAAGAAAACCTATGTCATTATTATCAAAAAAACTAAGCAATGCTTAAAATATCCACCATTCGGAACAAGCAATTGTTGTGTCATGCTTATTTGAACCTGTCAAATTAAAGCGCTTTCTGCTTGCTTCAGTAATATCTCTGTCGAGGCTGCTCGCTTTACCATGACAGGGCTATGTGCAGGACAGGCATAATTGTGATCCATTAAAAATACCCATCAGGAATTCTAGCTATAGCACCTCTTGAGCTGATCAGGGTCCTATCTCAAGTAGTACTGATGGACTGGATTGGCATTTTCTACGGTGACTTCTGCGGCTAGTAACAGGGACGCAGTAAAACACTTCCAGTCAAATTCTGTCTATAGACAATTTTACAAACTGTGAAACAGGGGGAATCCAGAGAGTAAGAAGCTGCAATTTTCCACTCTAATCATAGTGTCAGATCCAAGTTCTGCTGGGACAAGGGACATAAAGAGAGAACAGTTTTGAGTTTTATTGGCTTAAGGAGGAAACTAGTTCTTCATGCAACACACACATTCACAGATAGCCAATTATTCCCTGTAAGGGTCAGGGTGACCTAAAATCTTTTCCAAGCATACAGTAACTTCCCAGGACCTTTGCATAGGACGCCGATCCATAATGTGGAACACACACAACTCAGAGATACCAAACAAGCTGGCCAGCATGTTTTTGGAAGGTATATGGAAATCAGAGCACTTGGACAAAGGCCACATTAGTTTGGGGAAAATATGCAAACTATACAAAGCAAGTCCAGATTGTCACCTAGAGAGTCTGTCTAGAGCAGCCCTCTGCTATACTGCTGTACCGCTTGTGAGATCCGTTTTCTTTGGGTTGACAGCAGTTTCTCATCCTGGCAAGGATCACATTCCCTCTCATTGCGTCCTCTCCTTTCTTGCTTAGTAGATATCTGATTTCGAGACCGAATAATTGCTCTTCCTCAGATGGGTGGATCAATGTGTTTGTTCAGTATGTCGGTGTTAATAGACTGGAGAATCAACAAGCCGACACACAGAAAGCAGCACAGATCTCTTTTCTCTGACACTTCCTCCGTGTCTCTCTACCAAGCAGCAGACACAAGGAACAAGGATAGGACTTTCCAACTGTACAGCACAGGAGATTCCAAGGCTGTAGCCTCCAGACTTATACAGGTCCTCTACTCCAGTTCAACAGTATCAGTCAGTCATTAGGAATACAGTGCAACCATATTTAGTCCAGTATTCAGTATTCTAGCCTTAAATGTTCTCTTACTGTCTATTACTACTACAGATATACTACATTTAATTCTATCATTACTAGTTTTCATTACAACAATAATGAAGATAATAGAATACTTCTATAAAATCATATTCCACTATCTTGATGCCTTTTGTGTAGCCAAAAAGAACAGTAGTTCTATAAAAAAAACAATTTGAGATTCAATAAATTGGATTATGAGTTTTGTGGTTTCGATCACACTATTTGATTTCTGTGAGAAGCATTAATTTGTCCACAGCCTTCCTCGGATTCAGAGAGCCAACCTCCTGTACTTCAGTCAGGAGCTGGAAAGTACAGTATTTGTCTTGCACTTCACAGCCTCAAACAATTAATTATCAAGAATAGGTGATTAACAATCCTCTGTTATTGCAAAACTACATATTTTTGTTTTCCTTTTTCCTTGGGTTTCAACACTATTTTCTCAGACAACCCCGAACCTCATCAAACAGTAAAGCCATACAACTTCAATTCGCTCATCCTAATTTCTTAAGGCCTGGAATTTATCTAAGATCAAATAAAATGGGCGTGTGTTCAGTTTAATAATTGGAACAAAAATCAGAAAATCCTTCAGCCCCCACGGAACAGTATTCCATCACTAAAATATTTCTCTCTTAATCAGTTAATTGCTTTAAAAATGTTCTCCTACTGTTTAAATAACAGGTAATTTAGAATGACCTACTGTATAATATCTGGACTGGGGCACTCCAGGATCACATTTGGAGATCCATGCTGTGGAGCTCCTGTTGTTCACTATTGCTCTTCTTTAGTAAAATGTACTTGGACAGTACTCATGATCATGGCCTGAATCCAGCAGCTGATGAAATGAGTGAAACAAAAGGTACTTTTCCCCCTTACAAATGTGTCTGAACAGTCACTTAGCGCCACATAGTAAAATCAAGAACATTTTAACAAAAAGTGAAACCACAGGTACTGACAAGTCTTTCCGATAACAAAAGGTTCATTTTTTCAATATCTCTGCATTTTTTATGATATCGTGGTGATAAGAAGATGAACGCGTCCCTTCACCGCAAAAAAAATGTAGTGTGCCCTCACAGTTTGCTTTCTGAAGGGTTGGTGAGGAAACAGATTTGATGAAGCTACAAAGGTTTTGGCCCTTTTTCCTCTGCAGACTGAAGGAGGGTCTTAGACAAGGGCAAATGCTGTTTGCTTTTTTGATCACAGTCTGCACGGGCCCCTTTGTTTGCAGTGCCAGGCGCCTGATCCTCTGCAATTGAGCAAGAAGGCACTATCCTCCAGGTCAGGTAAATAATACAGCAAAAGCATCTGATGAACTTCAAAATGAAAACAGAACTAACTTACTGCACAGGATTAAGGACACGACTTTTACTTTGAACAAAATGCAGCTCCCTCCTTCCTCATCCTGTAGGCCACCATTATCCTTTTATTTCAATCTTCAGAGTGGAAGCTGGGGGTAGTTAACAGGCGCCACTTAGCAAGCAATTCCTTTTCCAAGAGGCATATTGCAGGTGATTGCCATCAAAGTTACAGCATGCACATCTGTGATGCCACCATAAAAATATGAAGATGAGATGAAGTGATAATGCTAATTCTGAAATGGAGCTGTTTAATGGATAACTGTCCCCTTCCCCTCCAAATTCCTAATTGGTACCTGAGCTCCTAACATTGATTAGATTTTCTCCATTCATATGGAAAAATCTTCCATTTTGAAGGAAGAGAACAGAAATGTCAATTTGCTCTGTAGCAGGCTTCAAATACTTTGGGATAATGCTACTGTATGTCTGCAATGAAGCCCCTTCTGCAGATTCAATAGAGTTGAATTAAAACCCGAGCGGATTGCTGTGCATGAAACCTGCAGAGATAGATTTCTGGCACAGTGTCAGCGAAAGCTCTCTCTTTTGTAATATCCACTCGTAAACTCAAACATAACCCTAACCTCAATGCTAACCCGACTTTTCTCCTAACCCTAACACTAGAGTGACATTACAACGGACTTGAGATGTGCAGGCTGCAGCAGATAAGAGGAAAGCCAGGAAAGCCGGACATATTGGGCACCCTGCCAATGCACACCTCTAAATCATATTTCCTTATACACTGAATATAAAATCGAGACATACTACTCAGGTTCAAGAGTGTCCAGGCGAGCAACAAGAGAGGCAATAAAATTAAGATGCAAATACGTACTGTAAGAGGGAGATAAGTCAGGGTCAGACAGAGTAAATTTTTTTTTTAACAAGAACCAAAACGGATGAAAAAAGGACCTAATTTAAAAATCCGAGGTAAAAGAGGGGAATGAGGCGCCACACGCTCTGACTGACTTGATCGTAACACAGATTTATACCTGCAGGATTTAGAATCCAGTTGAGATGTCAAATAAGTGTTTGAGATTAATTTTAACAGATGCTGGTAAAGGGCAATTCAAAAGCCTGAAGAGTCTACAGGTAATATACAGAGCCCTGGCACAATAAAACGAACATCCCACAGAAACAATGAGCGGCACAATCAATCAGCTTTCACACCGCTCTTCCCATGGAAAATAAACAACAGTCATCTGCATCCAGCACTGCATAAGGCTGCAGGCTAAGCAACAGAAAATCATTTGTGCATGCTCCTTTTTGTGGTTGGTGTTGTGTCCCAGAGCTCTACACAAAGTGCATAAAAAGGTCATTGAAAATAGAAAATAGTACTTAGAGCTACAGGCACAACTGAAAAAGAATTGTTAAGAGGGAGACAGAAAAGATACTTCAAAGGAGGCAAATAACTTTTCCAGTTCTATAACAGTAAACAATAAATATAGGAATAAACAGGTTATAAGATAATAGATTCTTAATACTAGAAGATAAAGCTAAGAACCATGACCAGGAGATGGTGGGTTAGACAGCCTCTCACTGGGCCGATGTGAGTAGCAGTGTGCCACAGGGATTCATTTCAAGCTCACTGCTTGTCCTGATACATATTAACAATCTTGATACTGGTATAGTTGGCAAAGAAGTCCAATTTGATGGTGATAAAAAATAAGGGGAGTGGTAAACAGAAATAGCATGAAGGGAGTCACAATAACACTAGACAAAATCTTGGACTGAGCCACAGAGCTGCGGGAAATTAAACACAAATGGAGTCTGGATTATTCTAAGTCTCAATAAGACCTAGAAGCAATACATAAGCAAACTGAATTCTTGGGAATAGAACAAAAAACAATCCAGGGAAGATATGCTAAAACTTTCCAATGCTCTAGTAAGACCTAATGTACAGTATACTGCAGCGTGGTGTTCAGTTTTGAACAGGCACAACCGAGGGGACTGCTTCACACTCAGTGGTTAAACGAAGACCCTGGGATCACAGTTGGCAACCTAAGAGGAATTCATTTAGGAACACTTCTTTACTCCAAGAGTGGTGGGTGGCTGGAACAGACGTCTCAGCCAGCTGTGTGAGGCCCAAACTCTGACCACCTTTAAGAAACAGCTGGTCAATATTTAAGTCTCATTCCAAACAACCAAAACAAGCAAGACAGGCCAAATGGGCCCCCCTCTCTCTTGCAGGTCTTCCTCATGTTCTAAGTCAGGGCTGTTTCAATTTATTAGGACCACCTCTACCATGGGTAGAGCAGGCGCAGGGCCAGTCTGTGCACCTACTTGACCGCGTGTAGGACTCGTGGCAGGTGTGCGTGATCTCTCCAGCAAGGTCCATATAGTGCTGGTGCTTCTCCGCCTCTCCGTCTTCCGCTCCTATGGCGATCATCCCGCCGGAGAAACACGCCAGGTGACCCATCTTGTGGTCCAGGATCCCCCCTCTCCATTCTGCAAAATAGGTGAGGCCTCCTGGAGACTTCTGCACCAGATTGGTTTCTATAGCCTGCAATAAGAAACAAGCTCTTTAGGGAATTCTTTACCATCATTTGTCTCCAGGCCTTTGATAGCCACTATTACTGCGATCTGGGAGAGGGAGATTAGAAAGACCTTTGAAATACTTGGGGGTTTGCAACATCACAGGCACACATTTATGTTATTTTGGGTTTTTCTTTGGTTGTGTGTGATAAGAGCTCAGGCAAATTAAAATGCAGCACACCTCCCATGACATGCACTGTAAGATTTCAAATGCAAAGAAGAAAAAAAAAGTCAAATAAGCCTCTACAAAGTTTTGTTCCATTCAAAAGCTTTAGTTTATTAGACACTAGAGGACCTGTCTCTAGTTTAAAAAAAAAGTGAAGGGCTTTGATCACAGGTTTTGTTTTTCGCCTGCTTTTGTTTTTTGCACACAGAAATGGAAACAGCCCGAGACAGGAAGGGATTCAATAACCTGTGAGACAGAAGAGGTTATCTGCCTCTTTCAATGATCAGCTTTCACTCTCGGGCTTTTCTGCAACAGCTGTTGCCATGTTGGTGAACTTGGTTGACCTCCTGCAGTAGCTGTCTGAGCTTTTGTCTGCCCCTACTGGGTAATTGGTGCTCTTAACTGATATACTCCATGCTTTCCCTGCTGTGGTCGATGCCCTTTGTCGAGAAGCAAAGGGCTCCAGTCTGCACAGAGCAGGGCTACAGCTGTTGAGCCATGCCCGTCTCTTTCACTTGCGGTACAGTGCAGCAGATCTCATCAAATCCATTGCAGAAATGCCAATTGTCGTGTTGTGCAAGGTTAAGGGGAAAACGTGATTCTGTGGGAATGTTTTGAATGAAAGTACAAGGCCTGTTTATAGCTGAAGAAAAGAGCCACTGATAAGTCTTTGCATCTCAGCTGTTGCACAGGCTCAAGGTCCTGGTGAAACAAACTGCATTGAGTGCAATGACATTCTGACCATTTTGGGTTTTGAGGATAATTGTATCGGAAACCTGTATAAACCCCTAGATTTCCACAACACAAGAGTTTTATGGTAATTAACTTCCTTTAAGTTTCTTAGAGACTTAATCTTCTTGTGCTAATTATGAACTGCACTGATCTTAACTGGGGAAAAGGTTTGCCTGCTCTTCTGCAAGGTTCCTGTACTATAATTCTACTATCTGGGAGACAGTTAAATCTGGGATCTTTATACCAACAGTTAAAGACAGTTAAACTGGTGGGATCACACAAGAAATTGTTACGTTTAAATGGTCAGAATGAAACTGTGACCAATAAATATGGCAGAATGGCCAAGATATTGCGCTGTGAACTCATACCGCCCGCTTTGTCCATTGTAATTCGATTTTTGATTCTCATTTGTAATTGTCCATAGAGAATGACAAACTTTCATTGAAGACAGAAATAAAAGAACTGTTATACTATATACCATAAGAGAACTGTCCCACTATCTCAGTGGCCTTCAAGCACTTAGCCATGATACCACTGTGCTCTTTCTCATTGATACGTTTTTTCCTCTTTCCTTCACGATCTTGTTCTGCAACTCCGCTTCGTAATTTCCTCCTTTATCGCACAAGAGGTAAGATTCATTTCACAAGCTATCATTGCATTGTCCCAAGTACCAACAGCCTGCAGTCTCCCAGTGTGAGCGTGGAGCTGCGTCTATCGCCTTCCAGTTCAGCTCAGCAATTCTCTGATTTTTGAAAACCCTGGTTTCCGAGTTGCTCATCTTTTCCAAAGATTAGATATTCCAGTCAACTGGAGCTGGCGCTTGCTCTGAGGAGCTCAGAGGGCACACTTGCATAAGTCATGTTAGACAACTTTCATCTTTGTCCAAAATCGGAATGACACCCTGCAAAGTCTGATCATACTGAGGGCTGCACAGCTGTTTCTCTTTCAAGTCTCCAGCTCTGGAAAAGCAGAGTTAGGTCTGGCTCCGTGCATGCACCATGAACTCAGCTGGACTAGTCCCACTCCAGCCCTGTCCTGGCAGTTAGTCAGAAGAGTATTTTTCTTCAGGTCCAGAAGAGGTTCAGAGTTGCAAGAGAAAGCACCAAGACTGATTTCAATTGATGTTTATGACAGGATATCCACTTATATGAATGCTGTTTTATAAACAACAAATACAAAGGGTCTTTGTTTGCCATTCCAGCTTATCTATTTCTTATGCCTGCAATTAAAAACAGATCTATATTATATATTCAATAATTCATATAAATCTATATGACACGGGTTATGCCAACTAGTACAGCAAACCACTATGTGCTCGTGTGTGAAAGAATGTGAATTTGGGACTTTCATCAATAGCTGGGTACATTAGTGTAGGGATTGGAAGTGACTTTACATGTAGAATTTGTTCGGCATTATGACATTCTGTTCAAGTTCTCCAACTGCTCTTAACTGTGACAATACTAGTGCATCACCCTGGTAATCATATTATATAACCTTTAATACTGTGGGGAAAACATACCTCCAGAGCATTATAATACATTTTCTTGGCTTCTTCATCTGTCTTGTCTGACATCAGATATGATTTGATCAAATACTCATAGAAACTGTCCCCAAGGCCTCCGATAGAAACATGATCTGCAGAAGAGAAGAGGAATTATTTCTAAATGGTTGCAAGGCTTTCTTCTATACCTAAATCTCATGACGATCTGCATGTCTGAGGGTCACACCTGCACTGGTTTACTCTCCTTGGAGTTTTGTAAAGAAAAAACACAGGGTGCAGGGCACAGCGCTAATGTTCCCTGACTGTGGAAGGAAAAACCTCACTGTCGGAAGGACAAAATCTTATCTTTTGAGAAGCAGAGCTGAGGAATTAAAATGCTCCATGCATTCAAGCAGGACGGCATGCGCATTGTGTCAACAGTTGTGTAAAGGTTATCTTTGTTATAAAAGAGCTTCCTAGTCAGAGTTGCTATATAGTTTTTTGTTTCAGCATGAATAAAATACCAGCAGTTCACCTCAACTTATAGAATAAGGTTTTAAACAGTTAAACATTTAACATTTACACATTAAAAAAAAAACTAAACTGTTACCCCCATTCCAAATCTTTTGTAAAAAATCTACTAATTCTGTTTCTTAATTCTGCTTCTGTTTCTTAGCTACACTAATAAACAACTCGAGACCTGCAACATTAATTATGTGGGGCTGTGTATAAACAACATTATATTTTTACGAAAAATATTCTGTTATATAAAGAGATACTGTACATATTAAATAGTGAAGAATAGCCTTACTTTAGCTAACCAGTGACTATTGTAAAACTGCCTCCTGGCAAATCAATGTAGTGGAAGATCTAATATATCTCTACTAAAATATTCAAAAGCTTTAATTACTCAGCTCAGCTATAATGCCAGTTGTATTGTAGTTCAATGGTGAAAAAGGCTGTTTCTTTAATCAACTTATTTTCTGAAACACATGTGAAACAGTGCTTCACACAGTAGATGACACTTCTTGGGGAGACAGTTATTTAAGGAGTAAAAGGGCAGTCGTAAATCCACAACTTTGGCATATTCAAATAAGTACAACAGATAAAACATATGCAGCACAAAGCCAAGCACAAAATGGAGTATACTGTACACACACCAAAATGTCACTGACACCTACTGTAGAAGAGACTAATACTGTAATAATTGCTAGCAGGTGAGACAAAAGCGTCTCCAAGCAGTTTTTTAACAAATAGAGATTCGGAGACAATGCCCCAAAAGGAGGAAAAACAAAAAGAGAAAATGTATACTCACGCTGCACCCAGTTGCCACTGACTGGGCTGAGGAAGTTGGGATAGAGCCCTTGGGGCTTGTCAATTTTGTTCAGCACTTTTCGAATGTTCATGACCTGCAGGGACATGGGAAAGGGTTAGCAAAAGATTCCACAATCAGCACGACACAACTCAATCAATCAGGCACACAAGGAGGAACGGCCCCAAGAAAGCCATCGCGCTTGTAAACAGAGCTTGGGCCATTAAATATTCAGCAATTAATTTCCTCCAGATGCTATTTCCTTTTGAAAAACATTCCATAAAAATAAATAAGAGATTTGTAACACAGTTTAACTGAGGAGTCATCCAGCTGTAAGTCTACTCGGGGCCTTTTTGAAGCTGTGGAAAATAATAACCAGCACTATGTTTTCTTTTTGCATTACAGCTGTGGGAGTCTTCTCACGTGGCTTCAAGTACAGTAGTACACATGTGTATTGTAATATAATCACTTTCATTTCTTGAGTTCAGACAATATGTATACTGATGCACAATAAACATGCAGCAGTCCAGGTTTGACATCTACAGCATAAATAATATTATTCACATTATAAAGACAGCTTTCTAGATTGAGAAGAATTTTAGCTTGGGATAAAACGTTGAGCACATTATGTAATTTAATCGAAAAAAACAGTGGTTCGGGATTTGGTATTTGAGTTGCAGTAAAATTGCTGAAATCAATAAGAATCTGTAAAAATGGCTATTCAAAAAAGACATTTTAATCCACGCAAGAATGTAAAAAGATAAAATTGTGCCACAGTTGAGTAGTTGAAGAGCTCTGGTTCCTATCGTCTCGACTGAAGGCAACCCGTTTGGGACAGAATTTGCCCAGAGAAGGAGATGCTCTGCTTCGACAACCAGCAGACTAATTTAAGAGAAACTAGAACACCGGCTTAGTGAAGGACAGGCCACATCCTGGGAGGCACAGGGTCATTACACTGGCCCAAGACACTCACCTCCTGCTGATCCATCTGCACACTTTCAGATTGCAGTGGCAATAGCACAAGAAAATCCAAGAAAAAACAACCTGTGCATCGACAGAATGACTGTACAATAGCTCATTGTCTGCTGGTAAGAAGTGTGCAAGGTCGGAGGCCATTCAGAGATGTTGACAACCGAGAGATTAAGCCATTGCCTTCTGCGGGCTTTAGAACATCTGAGATAGCAGCAAAGGGAGTGATGGAGCATGTTATTCACAGATGAATGCTGTTTTGCCTTTGACTGACCTGACAAGACAATGTGTACAGAGACGCTGTGTTGGATATTGTACTGACTGTTGAATAGTTCCAGCTCACCACTGGGGCAGTGCACATGTGATGTGAGGCACAATCGTCTTTAAAACATTACACACTACTTTTAAAGGCAACCTTTTGATACTGTATTGTACAGTACATTGAAAATGTCCTTAAACCAACAGTTTTTCCATTCCTGGATGGTAATCTATAAATACCAGATTTTCCAGCAGGCCAATGCAAGATCAGACAGTGCAAGTATTATAGTAGCATGAAAATCAAGTCATTGCGTGTGGCTAGCTTTTTCTCCTGACCCGACTCCAAAAGAACATCAGTAATCAATCTGCCAGGGTCACCAACACTGGCAGCTGTGTGGCACAGTGGTCAGAGCTGTGCTTGAGTAACTGCAAGATCACGGGTTCATATCTCAGGTGACACATTGTGTTGCACTGTTGAACAAGGTACTGTATTTCAACCACTTTATTTCAATATAATATTCACATGTGTGAAAATAAGTCACTTAAGTGGCATTAGTAGTACCAACAGGATACAATTGCAACAGTCCAGAGGAGTTCTATAGCAGCCTTTTAAATAGTTTATTTAAAAGCAGCACATCAGAACAGACAGTCCTGTCAGGTCTGTGCTAATGCTCAGGTCTGTCATACCTGATATTAGCTTTAGAATGTTTTCATTTTGACAGTAGTGTCTTACTTCATACTACACATTAATTATGATTCTTTGATATTTGCTTTTTTGGTAATGTTTCCTGTAATTTTGAATGACGTCTCCGTTCAAAATAGTTCATTGAATCCAACAGTGCAACAGTATACACAGTGCTTACAACACATGTATCTTCATTTGTAATCAAGTAAATTTAATTTAAAATGTAATTACCTTTATAAATACCTGTCTAACAGACAACTTTTTAGAAGTTTCCACAGAGGAAGCAATTTATTTCTTAGTTGCCTTTGCCTATGAATGTTTTAAATAAAATGTTATTATGGTTCTGTGTAATCTGAGACCAGGGATGGGTAACCCTGCATTTATAACAAGTATTTTTAAATTAGAAACTGATTAGGAACTGATGATTTAATAACTTATCAAAAAAAGAAAAAGAACTTAGAAATTTTACTTAGAAGAAGAAAAGTCATAAGTAATGATGATCAAAGTTGTAATGAAAAGTGGATGGGCCTTTCTCCCATTCCTGTGTGGCATTGACCCACCTTCTCAGAATAAAGCGGGTTACTGGTGATTTCACTCAGGTGAACAAACTCCAGGTGCAAGGTGCCAAACTCTGCCAAAATACTGCTTCCTGCTGATGCCCAGCCCCAACTCCAACTAGTGCCACTGGAATTCAAAGCAGAAAGCAGAATCTCAGGTTAATTAGATCAAAATACATCAGCATCGACTGAAGACTGAAGACTAAATCACACAACCTTCAGAAAATTAAATGTGTTAGAAACACAGTCTTTATGCTATGACTTTGTGTCTACATTTAGTGTTGATGCTTTAAAAGACCAAAGATCTTCAGAGAATAAAACAGGTGGCACATCAGACACATTAGACTCAAGTTATTAATATCCTAATCAAATAAAGGTGGAAATAAATTCCACCTGAAATAGGGATTCAGGTACAACATAGCCTTGTAAATAGGTCTAGAAGGTACCATTGACTTACTACTTTAGAACAGAATGTAGGAATCATTTTGTCATAACAGAGCTATAATTATAGTTGGGCAAGTATTTGGCAGGTGATGCTGTCAGAGCTAGAAACAACTGGGAATATTAAAAAAATAAGTAGCTGAAGCCTTGAGGCCTATTCAAAGCATAGCCATTCACTCCTCATCTAGAACACATCCAGAAGGTCAGCCAAAATGGATTCACAGGGCTAGGAAACACCTTGGTCAACAGTGTTAAAGCCAACTGAATAACATGCTGAAGGATACATGAGTCTATAGCAGATTAATCTCCCCAGAAATTCTGGTAGCCATTCCTACACCTGAGCCAAGTGAGGCAATCTGGATTCAAGGATGCAGCAGTAGTGCTCACTACTTTTTGACAATTGATTTTTTGACATCAGTTAATCTGCATCTACAGCTAAGGGTCCTGGTGAATTCTCAGAGCAGGTTCGCAGGTGTCACCCTGATGCCTTGACAGTAACAAACAAAGCTTAGTCAGGATTTATAGATTGGCTCACACCTTTAATGTGTGGCGAAGAAAAAGCAAGCTCAGGCAAAGTTTCAAAAACACTTCAAAATTGAAACAAATGTCAATATTGTCAGGGACTAATTTTATAGTACAGACTGCATCTTTCAAAGTTATTAACAAAACCATGGTGTTATTGCAAAATCTGTCATTTATCTTGTCAGACCGGCCTTGTGATATGTGCTTTTTAATGAAACTGAAGTGAAGAAAAAACAGTAGCATTTTATATTACAAAAACATATACTGTACAGTATACGAATGTCTAAACCCAAAGGATTTCCTATTATCTCTTTGCTTTAGTTTTTTTTAATAAGCAGTTACGGTTTCTGTTCAAGTTTCTGATTTTTTTTCAAATTTGCAATCCTGATCTATGTGTGTATTACAAAATCTGTCTACATCATTAGCTGCTCACATTCAACTTGCAAACATCTGTGAAACTAGAAAATCAATTCTTAATAGACTAAAATGCAGAGAGAGAGATTGCCTTGCCTCTGCAGAAAAGAGTTTTTTTGTTATTATTTAGTTTTACACACCCAAAGATTTGGTACCCATAAATTTAATCAGTTCTGAAAAATGATAAATATGAATAAAAGCCAAGGTAGTAATAGGGAACTATGTTGTGATATAAGGCTAGTGTTACCTCAAAATCCCATCAAGCTCACTGCCTACTCTGATTTTAGTTCTGCAAAGTATATCGTCACTGTTATACCCATAACTAACCAAGGGTGTTGACCTCCCTCATCAATCTCTATGCTGCCCCAGATGTCAGAACTAAATAAAGACAAATACCCCTCCCGCTGACACACAGGTAGCACAGTGAGCAGAACAGTGGAACAGGAGCAGAAGCATGGCAAAGCCAAGAGGAAGAGCCTGATAGGAGCCGTGAGGAACAATAACAAGCCAAGTTATTGTAACCGGTAAGTGCCGGATGAAATCATGGGAATACTGCAGATCTCCCAGGGTCATGCGCTCACTACACACCGGAGCACCACTCCCTAATCTAAACCTGCTCGACTTCAAATGTGTTCCAAGGCTCTGTGACCACATTACCCAGCGCATTCGGTTTCATTCATTCCAAATGCAAAACTTTAGTTTTAACTTTTAAAGCCCTACACACCCAATCCCCACAATACTTGGCATCTCTCATTGCTCTCTCTATATACTGTATCAAGCAGGCTTTACACTCTGTCAGGGCACATCTTTTAGGACTACCTCCTTGTACAGCAGGTGCAGCTGCCTCGGGCAGCACACTTGCAAAGCAGCTCTGGAGCTCACTCCCTGCCAATCTGAGACATTTAACTCTTTTACAGTCTAAGCTCAAGACGTAGCGGTGTAGTCAGGCATCTCTTCCTTTTCCCACATTTTTTTCATCCCCATATTTGTTGCCGTTTCATGTTGTTTAGAGTTTTTTGCCCAGTTTTTGTTTTTACCCTGTAAAGTGCCCCAAAGGCTGCAAGATGTACTGTACATACACCATAGACACTGAAATAAATGTTTCAGTGGTTGAAACATTTCTTGTTAAATAAACAATGTATTATTAAATGTTGGGAATCCTTCTGCACCCCCCTCCCCAACTTCAGCACCACTCATTATCACTCATTTTCGACTACTCAAGTCTGAGAGCACATGGAGAGCTGCCATGGCAACCAGGTGGATACAGTCGATGCTCCACTACATTGACTTTCTGGGCTAAGGCTAACTAAGGCTACTGGTGCTTGACCCCAGTTGACCTCTACCGTCAGGAGGAGATTCATTTCCCAGCTCTGAGAAAACTGTGCCATTGTTAAGTTAGCCTATCAGCACTTATTCGTTTCCCAACAGACTGAAGTGAATATATATTTCTGACACACTGCTGGGTAAAGCAACTGTGACTGGAGAGGTGTGTCTGCTTCTCGCTTATCAGTCTTTTCTTCATCAGCCGCAGACGAACTGCGTCTTGGCCGCTGCTAACTGTGGCAGTCAGAGAGGAGGCATCATGTGCACATGCGGGGAATATAGTGCTCTTGGCTGTCACGGGCCTTGCCCATCTGTGGGTAGCCCTCATTACTAATCTAACTGGAATCAGTTCTTGAAGCAGTTAATTAAATGCTGCAACAGCTGTCCAAAAGATCTGGGGGTCTAATTGAAAGCAGGTGTGTGGCGGATGTGCAGAAACCTGAGTAACAGGCCGCTCCGTGGACATGCAAGCAAAAGGTGCCATTTCCAAGATGATTTCTTAATTGCTCTAATAGTCCAAGAAGAGCACATGCAGAGACTGATGAAGTAAATTAGCATTTTCTTAAAAAAAAAGAAATGATGATTTAGATCATTTAAGAGGTGGAATGGGGGTTAACATTTCTTTCTGACAGGGACCTGGGTTTGATTCATACAGGGGGGGAGCTGTCTGTGTGGAGTCTGCATGATCTGCCCACCGGGAGATCTGGTCACCTCTTGCCTTCCAAATACCTGAAGGTTCAGTTTGGTGAACTGCTTGAAAATTTCTTTCTTGAGGGAGGGAGGTGTGTGTGTGGGGGGGGGGGAAAGGGGGGTATTTGTAATCTGTACAATTATCACTGGCCATGTGTTTATATGATCCAGATGGACTTCTCCCATTTCAGGCTGTTCTGATGTCTTTTTAACAAACATTTCATTATATCCTGAACTGCAGGAGATTAAGGGACTGTTATTCAATACATAAAGGCAGTTTGAATGAGCACTGGAGTATGGCATTTTTTATTTGCTTTTTGCAAACCTCATCACTCAGACTTTTATGAAGGTTACATAATGACCCAAGCATAATTGATGTACTTTGATATTTAAATGTCAGGCGAGAAAAAAATAAAATTGCTCACATTTTTGTTTTTGTAAACTGTTCAGTAATTTCAAAGCCACTTGAATGCTGCAGTCCAGAAAAAAGCAACATAATTAATAAGCATATCATTCAGGCAGACTGGCAAAATGTGATCGGAACAGTTATCTCTGCTACATGTTTGTCTCACTGAGTGATGTTTTGGCTCTGGCGGTGTGAGCTGTCCTACTTAAGACTGGTATAATCTGATATACTCTGAATAGAAGTGCTAGTTTTAATTGATTGAAGAAACACAGGAAAGATATTCTAGGAGATGGACAGTCACTGAGTAGTGCTGGGGCATTCACATAAACAGCTATTCCAATATTCCAGATAGCGGGAATTTGTGATCTTGTGTTCTGTCAAGTAAACTATCTTCATTAAGAACAGTTACTAATGAGGGAAGGTCATTCAGCCCACCTTGCTGATTTGCTAGTTAATAGCTAATTAATCAAAAAATCTCATCCAACAGCATCTTGTGGAGAAAGCACAAAAATTTCTTGTCCGGACTTGCAAACAGTTTTAGTTCCTCTTCAAATGTGTGCATTTCCTCAACCAAACCAGAAGGGAGTCTCTTGCTCCCCTAATTTGTAATTTGAAGTTTAAATCATTTAAAAGACCCTTTAAATGTCAATGTGCTAACAGCCAGCTTACAAAAATACTTGGCATTGGTTTGCTATGAAACATTTGGGATTTGAGCGCTTAACATTTCCAGGAGCTCAGACTCGAACCCCGGCTGCATCATTAGCTGACCGCGATTGGAATTCCCCAAACAGCAGGCCACAATTGCCTGAGCACCACTGGGAAACGGTGTGTTTGAGTCGCCTGTGTAGCCTGCAAGGCACTGTGGGATGTTTAAAGGTAGAAATCACCAAGCGGTAGAAGAAAGTGTGCACTGCCTTCACAAGGGGCTCACGGCAGCGAGCTCTGCTCACCAGCACGCCGTCATTACAATTTAAAAAAGGGAGAGATGCAAGGAGTCACAACACAGCTCAGTGAAGAGTTAAAGAGCCTACAGATCTCTTTACCATTGCTCACAAGCACCTTTTATACTTTAAAACAGCACATCTAAGTACCTTAAATGACATTCAGAGAAGCACGTATTTTAGGATCAATATATTTAGAATTAGGATTAAAAAGGTTTTCATACAGCCGGCTTCCATATACTGTATGTGAGACAACAGTATGCGTCCTCATCCTATCTGTCAGATCCTTTGTGAAAATAACAGGTGTCTATGTTCTTCACACAAGAAAATCCTTCACACACAGCAAATCTCACACACAGAGACAACCTTACACACACATAGAGCAAATTCTACATGATATAAAAAATGTCAAGTGGTAGACCATGTTATTAATAAAACAGTAATCAGTGTAATACTGACGTTGGAAACATAGGACAGAAAACTGCATTACCATGTTTAAGAAAAATTCAAAAGAATGAAGTACTTAATACTTAAAAGTAAAAAATGCTAAAAAAAATCTGAAACACTGGAGACATCACACAGCTTACAAATGTTATTACACTGGATCTATATGGTTCAGCAAGTATTTTTTGAAGAAACCCCTAGCAAAGCAAGTTAAAAGTCATGTAGATCATTAGCATGCAGTGTGCACTCATGCACATACAGTAGTTATCATGTAATCAGTACAGATGTGCACATGGCGTCCTGTAGGAATATTAAGTGACTGCTAGGTTGTACAGAGTAAACAGAGGGAGAAAGTAATGAACTGAGACTCAGGGGTTTTTCTTCATTAATAATACCTGAAAAGGGTTGCTTTTTGAGCACTCATTTTTATATCTGTGGCAGGACAATATCTGGTATCACAACTCCTGTGTAACTCTTCCTGTATCACTACTAACTGTGGACCAGGTGAAGAGTTAGCCCCTCAACAGTCTATCTGAATAATGTTTGATCAAACCTTGCAGAGAACAGGGACTCCAGCAGAGTCAATGTTTTAGTAGAGCAGAAGGAAGCTGCTCCTAAGGAGAGGAAATTAAGAAAGTACAAACTCTGCTCTGGCCATCCTTGTATTAATAATTGTAAGATGTTTTGCATACAGTAGGTACAAATGTGCTGACAATGCATAAAATACTACTAATGTTTTTTACAAGACAAGTCTTTGGTTTTTGTACCATGGATATATTTGCATATGATATTTTTATTGAGATTTGGAACACCATATTTGATAACTGTAGCAAAACCCCAACCTTTTGCACCGGGTAATCAACTGACCTTTAACATGACGAGTCTTGAATATGGGCTCATGCGCAACAGCAAATGCAGCTCAATGCTGAGACTGGTCCCTACACTCTATCCATCCATCTTCTATCTGCTTTATAGAATACAGGGTGAAGGAGTAGCTAGACCTATCCTGACTCACACCAGAGCCGATTTTCTTAACCTACTGCACCAGCATGTCTTTGGACTGTGGGAGGAGACCAGAGCACCTGGAGAAAACCCATGCAAACATAGGAAGAGCATATAAACTCCACACAGACAGCACCCCACGAATTGAACCCAGGGCCCCAGAGCTTCAAGACAGCAATACTTACCACTGCATCACAGCGCCACCCTTATCCTCAGACTCACCTGCCCAAATTGATGACTCCTCTTGGAATACCAGTGGGAGTGTTAAAAGCAGGTAACAGCTTCGCACCCAGCTCTGCGGCTTTTCTCCGGAAAACCTGAAGTGGGGCAAGAAATCTGTGTTTAGAGTTTGTCGACCTGAGAAATGCACATGTACACAATCTACAATCAGCACTCCATGATGGAGTTTTAATCACCCAGCTCTTTTACACTCAACCCCTTCCTGTTATTTTGCATCTTAATCAGTTGTAACTTGTTCAAGCAACAAGCCAGAAAAAAGTCAAGGTAGAGTTGGAATGACACAGGGGTTTACAAGAATCTCCACTGAGCACCACGCTCCACACATCAACCACCCCCACTGTTCCAGCAAAAAAACATCAAGCACTGGAAATTAAGTGCTGTCTAACATATTGTATGTGCTTAAATGGGCTCAGTGTACTGTCTATACACATGTGAACTGCTTTTGGCAAGCCAGGAAGGCAGTTCAAAGCTATATAGCCACATGCACTTACTGTAGAAAGTGTCAAAAGTAAATTCTGCCCTCATTACTCCAGCCTTCATAGCAGACAAGCCAAATGCAGTACAAATACAATAAGAGCCAAAACAGCCAACCAACCCTTTGGTTCACTACACAGGAGCAATGTGTTTCTCCCAGCACGCCCCATTTCTCCACAAACTTCTTCTGTGAGTAAAAGAATTGCAAAATCATCAAACTACACTGTAAAGTGGAGAGAAAAAAAAGGGCCGTCTCACATCCACACCAATCACTTGTGAGACTGAGGACAATGGTAAAAGCCACAGTGACAGGGGGTGAAGACTGCAACGTCTGGATCACGACTTCTACAGTAGATCCCAGCCTCTCCTGGCCCCTTGGAAACCCCTGTAATGTACACAGCCACCTGCTGAAAACATATCGGTGGCTCTGGATTTATTCACATCAAATAGACGCAGGGTCTATTAAGATTGTGTATTCAATTAAAGAAGAGATGAAAATCCAAAAGTGGCATGAAGATTTTTTCCATCCCCATCCCCTGGCATCCCATATCCAGGAACAGTTAATGCAATACACCTTTGATATCCCATCTCCCACAGCTCGGCTAAATTGAACATTACATGTTGGAGCGGAGGTCTTCCTGTGGATTGAGAGGAAGGAGAGGCCTGGATTTCGGGAGGCCAAGAGAGAGCCTGGATTTCGGCAGTTATTAATTACTGGGGTTTACTGAATGTTACCTGGAAAATAAGAACTCGCAGACACGTCAAAACCAAAATATCCACATGGCTCACTACGTCAGATTCCTGTCTGTCTGGGAGGTAAGTGTCCAAGAAACATCCAGGAGTTCAATTTATACGTCTGCTTGAGTCATCTGCTACTGTACATGTGAAATCTTGTAGGTAGTTTAGTTGAACTGTAAGAAGCACGTACAGTATTATGAAAAGAGGACTAAACATCCTCACACCACCACTATACAGTAAAAACAGAACCAGAGAGCGAAGGACACATCATCCAAATAGACAGAATGCCTCCAGGCTAAAAGTGACAAATATTTCATATTCAGTTTAATCCCCTGCATATGACTGTGATATGTGGCTCAATTGTTTTAATCAGCATTCTTATACTTCATATCAGAAATTCATATGCAATTCATGGAATGGAATTATGAGAAGGACAGCTATTATTTAAAGTGTTGGGTAATTGAATAGCACAAAAACAAAAGAAAAAAAGAGAAAAGCAAATGAGAAATTGTCTTAGACTGGAATCCCAAAGCCACAGCAGAGTATGTTCTGTATCCTGAAATATCAAAGCCATATCTTGTTGCCAATATGCTAGAAGGGTTTTGAACAGTTTGTATCTTGTGTAGAGCCTTAGGCACACAGTAACTGCCCTGGAGACTTGTACTGGCATTATTCGAAGATACTGTGTGACATTTTTTTTCTGTAGATCAAAAATAATGACCTACAAGTTCAGTTATTCACCATTAAGTATAATGCTACTCTTAAACAATAAAAGCGCAGATCATTAAACACATACAGTACCAAGACTACTTCATATTCATTCAGGACACAGTAGAACGACGAATGAGATCTGAAATGCAGTTTTGCCTGGTGAATAAAAATAATCAAATAAGCAACAGGATTTACATATCAGACTACATTAAATTCCTCTATCTACAGTGCATTCCTTTTTTAACTAAGGGATTAAATCCATTAGAGTTAGTGACACCCATTAAATTGTTCATATTAGGAGAAAATTGAAAATAATGTTTCCTAATATTTCTAACACTAAATTAACACGCCCTTTATAACGGTCTTTTAATTATTTTGAATGTGAAGAATGCGTTTTGCGTCACAGTTAAAAACAGCAAATTGCAATATATGGAAATACAGCCTACTGTACTTAATGTTTATTTGCAAAAGTGATCTCTCTCAAAGGGAATAGATGCAGTAAAGCTAGCAGAAGTAAATATGAGATCTGGAAGAAATATTTTCACTAACCAATGCAGAGAGTACCTTGAAGCTGCCAATTGGCATTTAAATAGGTCAAAGTTCTCCCACAATTGAAGGACAAAAAAACCAACAACCTTTACACAGTGTTGAACAAAGTGTGACTTTTACATGCAAAACACTGGATCCTGTACTGGCTTGTACTGGAGGAGCAGCACCCCTACTCTTGAAAGTATAATTATACCTAAAATATATTTTTTACTTATATTTTTTTTTGTTTAAAAGCTGATTTATTAAGCCTTGCTCTCTCTAACACTTGGAGGTTGGAAAGAAACAAAGATGTCTGAAGGAGTGTAACCTTTAAGAATGAATAAAGTCACATCCTTCCAGTATTTTTATACTGTTTTGGAGCCATGTAAACATAAGATGAATTCTGGTTTGTCTTATAGTTTACAGCCTTGTGTAGTAAAATGTGCTGTGTTTCTTTTTTAAACTTTTTTTTATTTAATGACAAAAGGATTTACAAACAAAACATATAAAAAGTAAAATAATTTACCATATTCATCTTTTATTTTAGTTATACTATGTTTTTATATAACTATTTACATTATTCTAGCACAGATTGCTTGGTGTTGCTGGGTTTCAATATGACTGCCCTTCTAAAACCTTGTGAAATCTAATCACAAGGCTTCATCCTAATTAAAGTACATAATTGTTTCATAACCACTCAGCACTGACTGTAGCTTTGTGCAGACCATTCAGTGTCTCCTCAAAAGTCATTCTTCTATCACATACCTCAAGGTCAGAATTCAAGTTCTGTAAGTTTTCTGCCTGTAGATTTGAACTTTCCTGGTGAGTGCATTTGTACAGCAGGAATGAATATTTTGCGCCACAGTTCAATACCAGACTCAAGGCTTTCACAAACAGAAGAGAAATAAAGCAACAAACAGTGCTCTTTCAAGGCAATTTCTGTTCAAAGCCTGTCATCTCTGCAACAGGAACTCATTGCGAAAAAGAATTGCAGAGTGTCCCTGTTCCAAGCCGGATATATATATATTTATATAAAAATCGGCTTCTCCAGCCCCCTTGTCTTTGAAAGACATCATTAAAATGCCTCACATTTCAAAGTGTGCCAGTCTGACTCTCTCCCAACTCCCCCGCATCCAGCCACACAGACACACCATGGCAACAACCCATCTGGACCATCCACTGCACAGCTCCCTTCCAGCATTTCGGACAACCCTGTCATCTCTGGAGAATTCAATGTGAAGTAACTAGATCCACTGTCATGAGTAAGACATAACCTTTAGGCCCAGGAATCAGTTGACAAGATTATTCTCTCAGAGTGCTCCTGGGGAGAACAGAGCGCTTTTAAGGTTTATGAAAAACATAATGAGTACTGCATACAGTACTTCTATTCAAATGACTGTTGCTTGTCAAGTATCTGTAACACCATAAGCTTTACACCATATTAATGTTTAGATCTTGTGAAGATCTCCATAACGCTTGAGGTTTCCGGTAATAGTTGTAAACAATATACAGCCATTTTATTAATGAGGTTCTAAACACTGGTCCAGACTATAGAACAGAATTAGGGTTAGTTACCCACATCACATTAATAAACAGTAGAGGTTGGTTATTCTCAAGATTCTGTTTATCTATTAATACTTCATGAATTTCTATATTTATAAAGCTTCTATAAATGCCCATTGCAATTCTTTAATCTAAAAACTGTTATGAAGTGCTCAAAGCACTTCCCTTCCCTAATCCTGCCAATAAACAAATATACTGTAAAATAAAATACTGTTTATGCTCAAACAAACAAACTGTGTCCAGATGTTGATTTACATTTAAGCACAGTTCTGTCCAAAGTGATGAAGACCCACTTCACAGTTGTACACATCATGTACAGTATCTGTAAACTGGGATCCTGGATTCTAATAAGACATACTGTATATGTGAAACGCAAAAGTTAATACATGGTTCCATTAACAAGACATCTGCAACAGCAACCAGAAATCATTCTGGTTTAAAGGTAGAAAGAGTGTCAGACTGCATCTTTTTACATTAAAGCCCACACAAGCCATATGAGACCAGCTGGTCCAAAGCAAAGATTAAGCAAATGTCTCTGCTTCAAGTCTAAGCTCAACCTTTGATTGGCATGTCACCCCAAGTAAGTCTACCAAGTCTACCAGCATCTGCATTTGGCACTGCACACTACGCAGGGCAAAGGACCAGCTACAGCTGCCTTTGTGTCTGCTTCCTTTCAAGCTCAGCATTGTGATTCCAACATTATCTCTGTGGCATGCCTCCTTATTTCAGCAGGATCGGGTCCTGAAAGCAACAGAAGCTTGAAAGCTCAACACTTATTGACATTTCTGTTACAAAATATAAGACAAGAGAACCTTACTTTAATCACAAGAGAACAACAGCAATGGCAGAAAGACACAATTGCATTAAAAGATGATCATGTGCGAGTGCATGAATGATATTGCTCTGATCAACATGACAGCTCACATTCATTTCTATCCCTTATTTTTCATTGAGCAGAGGAAACACACTCTGCATTATTTATGGTAGGTGCCGTGGCTCTGTAGATACAACCACACAAAAAGCAGATTCAATTTGTTAAATACGACAACGTTCAAGTCATTTT